ATACTGTCTAAATAATTAAGATTAATTTTTTTTATCAACACTTAAGGGTAAAATTATTTGAAAATTAGTAATGTGATCGTTATATCTTCATTAAGGACTTACATAGTTAATTTTTTCAGCTTAAGGGGAAGTTGATGCGATAGTGTTAAAAAGACAAAAAATTATTTTATGTGAATGTTATAATATGAAATAATTGAATTTTCTCCTTGTTCAATGCTACCATGTAAATTTTTACATAGGTTAAGAACTTTAACGAATGAATCACAATTGACATAAGATTGTGGTGCTCTTCCATTTGTTTCCTTCTACTCGAATTGGATTGATAGAAAGAGTTAAACTTAACCGATTCAAAAAATAAATTTAAGAGCTAAATTTTGAAAGCAAATAAATTCAAGGGCTAACTTAAGGATTATTCGCACACTTTACATAGTTGTAAATTTATGATGTAGTTATAGTTACCAATTAATTTGTTAAGGTAGTAAAATTGTATTTAATTTAATTGATGTTTATAATTTTTTTAAAATAAATAGTTATAATATTTAAAAATATTAATTTGTAAATTAATTTTAATTTATTAAATAATAAATATCAATTGCTCTCTCAATTATTAATTATTCTTAACAATTAAATAAAACAAAATTAGTAAATTTAACTTAGCATATATTTTGTTTTCCTGATTTTTCTTTCCTTTTTATATCAATTAAAAATAGAAGTTAATCAATTGGGATATTGCCAGTAAAAGTTACGTATGATTACTCCATTGTCAATTATGTCTTTATAGTATGTGTTTATTCAATTTTAGCTGAATTAATTTTTAATTTGAATAATTTAAAATTTGTTATCCATGTTTTTTTTAAAGATATTATTTAATATATTTATTCATATTTTATCTTTATTTTTTAAAAAATAATTACAACAAATATAACAATAAAAATACTTATTTAAATAATGTTTAATTAAAAATATATAAAATTTTATCAATTAATTATTACATTTTATTTTATTAAAGATATAAATTAGGCTAACTAAAATTAGAGGGAGAGAGTACATATTATCAAAAAAGATTGTCAGGCATAAAAGAACCAAAATCTATGTAAATATATTAATGGACAAAAAAAACTACATATATGTCCTACTTGTAACCACAATATGTATAAATCGATCATATGATTTTTTTTTTTTTTTGGTTGAATTGAACAATTACAATTACAATTACTTTATAATATATGGATTGATTTAATTCTTTATATTGGCACATAGATTAGTGTAAACTAAAAAACATAAGGTTTGTTGTTTTCCCCAGCTATGGGGATACTTAAATCTGATAAACTAGTGTTCATAACATATCAACAGATGTTGATAGTTTTGGTGATAATGGATGAATATGTGTTTTAATTATTACATTAAATTTTGTATATCAATTGGTTGATAATTGATACATCTAATATCTTGATTGGTACGACAGTTTGAACCACAATAATATTATACAAATATCTCTTTTCTCATCTACCTCGAATTGTAACGGTTCAACCAAAAAATGGGCATTCTAATTATCCATCATCTTACCCCACTCCATTAACGTACCCAAATGGACCACAACACTTTTATGAATGAAAATTTTCTGTTTTGTAGAGAAATGCTCGATAAAAAGAAAATAAAATGAATCCAAAAGTAATGAATAATATTTTGGGGGTGGCGGTTGGGGGGGTGGGGGGAATTAGATAAAAAGAACAAAATATAGGGGAATTGCAAATTTGCCGTCTTTGTTCGTCTCATGTTGGAGCACTTGCTGGTATTAATTATTGTTCTTTCGATCTCTGGGTGAAAGAAAATAATGGTGTAATTATTTTGAAGATTTTCTTCCCCTAGTGCGAATTGTGTTCAACTACAAAAAGAAGAATTAAAGAAATCTTAATTTCGAGTGAAAAAAAATTGATTTTCATTAAATTTTAAATTTGAGTCTATAAATAAAAAAATAAGTATTCGAAGAGCATTATTTTTAGGATACAAATTAATTGTATATTAATTATATTTTTTAATTAATCTTTATAAAATAATATTAAAATTGATATTATTTTTACTAACAATGTTATATAAATACTTTTAATTAGATATTAGACATCCTATAATAGAATTAGAGTTAACTTTCAAGTAATTTTTTAATCTAAATTAAAAAAAAAAAAAACTATAATTAATGTAATCTAAACTATGCCTTTAAATGTCTGAGGAACATATTTAAAAACACATTAAAAAAACATTTATACCAATTAAATCACTCAGAAAAAAATTAACTAGCTGTGGGTCCAAAGTGTGTTAAATCTATGGAACACATCTGTGTTTTTGACAATCCTACAAACCTCACTTCCTAATTGCTAACACAACACACCCCAAATCCAAATAATTTGAACCCATATTGCTCCAATTTCGACTCGGCCGAATTAGCACTGGTTACCAGAGTGGACTCGCTCCGAGCTGAGCCGGACCCAATACAGAGTTCCAAGTTCACCTCTTCCTTCTTTGGCTGCTGCTGTTCTTCCTCCGTGGTCATGCCACTGCTCGAACAATTATTCCCTTCCTCCATGGATTCCGTCTTTGCCTTAACTTCAAACTGATTGTACTTGATATCCGTAGGTGGGGTTGGAATAAAATTGGGATTTGAAGCTTCTGCTGCATTCCTGAAGTCAAATTCAGCAGCGGCAACGGAGGCGGCGGTTTTGTTCGTAACTTCATTCAACGGACGGTGCGTTTGTGGGTCATATCCACGGTTAATCAACTTCCGCTTGATGTGGGTGTTCCAGTAGTTCTTGATTTCATTATCAGTTCTCCCCGGTAATCTTCCAGCAATCAAAGACCATCTACCAAACATTTTTAAGAACAGGATTAATTTCTTCCTTCATGAAAACAATGAATCAAAGACTGTTAATTGTTTTTTCCTCTGATTTCAAATCTTACTTGTTTCCGAGCAGACTGTGCAACTTGATGATCAATTCATCTTCTTCTTCGGTGAAATTTCCCCTCTTAAGACCAGGACGCAAGTAATTTATCCACCTCAATCTGCAACTCTTCCCACACCGAAGCAATCCTACATATTGAAATTCAAGAAACCAAGTTAATACCACCAGAAACAGAAGAAAAACAAAACAGGGGAATTTGAGTCTTGACTCTTGACCCTACAGATCCACTCACCGGCAGCTTTAGGTAGGGAACGCCAGCATCCTTCACCATGAACACGGATGTAATCGATGAGGCGCTGGTCTTCCTCCTTGGTCCAGGCGCCTTTGTTGGTATGCGCCTTCTCGCAACAAGGTGAACGACCCATCAAGTTTCTTCAAACAAGATACGAGATACAAGATACAAAATACAAAATTCTTCCTTTTCTTGAGCCTGGATGGATTCAAGGACTCAAAATCAAAACCCACATTCAGAAATGGAGAGGAAAGGTTGGGTTTATGTTCAGTTGCTGTTAGGAAGCAGAGGGGAGGATTTATGGGAAGAGAATGGAAGGGGGAAGAAAGTTGTGAGATTTGACCAGTTTCGGTGAGAAAGACAATTGAGTAGAGAAAGGGCTGGATTTGGTAGGTAGCAGCTCGACCTTTACGTCAGATACCCCTTTATTTCTTCTAAATTATGGAAGTTTTTTCATTTTTATTTCATGCTTTTCAGTGGGTTTTCAGGTGATTGCATGTTAGGAAATTTATTTATCTGGGTGCTCACTCAATTTTTTGTTAATAAATTTAATTTATAAAATAATATTATAAATTTATTTTTTTACCTTTATATTGAAATTATTAAAAATATCTTAATAAATTTATAAATTAAATTATACTTTTATTATATAATTTGACTTTAAAATATTTTTTATTTTTTTATGTGAAGTGCAAAATCCAATTACTTGTTTACCTTGTTTTCTTCTACGCACATTAATACCTGTGCCCACATGGAAAATTTTCTGTGGGCTTATCTGCTTCGGTTTTTCAATATGAAATCTTTGTCGGTTGAATTTTTGTACTTTTAAGAACTTCAGAACCTCTGCTCAAAGTTGCAAAAGTTCTTCTCAATCCTTTTTTTTCTTTCTTTCTTTTCTTTCTTTCTTTTTTTTCTTTTTTTTTAGAAAGTACCCGTCTTATTAGGGTTGGAGTTGTATAACATCTAAGAAATAGAAAGAGTTCAGATATCCAATTATACTATAATCATGTATCATTATCAGTCTATCAGTCAATGTAAGTGTTTGGATTTTAGCAATTCAAGAAGAAGGTTAGTCAGTATTTCACTGTTATTATTATTGTTATTTAAGTAGGGATTTATTTATATATAATTTTTATATGTTATATTCATATACAAATTTTGATTTTTTATTTTTTATTTGTGTGTAAATAGATTTTAATTTTTGTTATTTACTATAATATAACTATATTTTTATTTGGCCCTCAAGGGAAGATTAATTGTTAAAAACTTGAATTTTAATATTAAAAGTCTCAAATTTGATTCTTGAGATAAGTGAAAAGGAATGTGAAAAAAAAAAGGGATTATTCTCTATTTTATAATTTATCATTCAATATATTAAAAAAATGTTAAATGTCAATTTTAGTCCATCAACTTTAAGGTTTTACACAACTTTCATCTCTCAATTTTTTATGTACTTTTTTGGTCCCTCAATTATGAAAAATACACATTTTTAATCATTTTGTTAGTTAATCCATTAAGTTTATCTAAATATACACATTTTTAATCCCCACTTCTAATATATGCACATTTTTCATCCTCAACTTTAAGTTAAAGGACTAAAAATGTGCATATTTGAATAAATTTAACGAATTAACTAATAAAAGAATTAAAAAAGTGTATTTTTCATAGTTGAGGGATAAAAAAGTGTATAAAAAAGTTGAGGGATAAAAAAGTGTATAAAAAAGTTGAGGGATGAAAATTACATAAAATATTAAAGTTGAGGGACCAAATTGGCATTTAACCTAAAAAAATTTATTGTTTCTGCTATTAGTCTAAATCATTATCCTTTAACATTAAAGTTCTGCATCGATAATCCCTTGGCAATTGATTAAGTTGCCAATGCTATAAGATAAACAATTAGTTCTCAATAGTGTAACACACATACATGCATAAATATATGATCAGCTTCAATAGTCATAACATGTATCTTCTTAGATATATTTTTCTTAGTCATATTTCTTAAGAATGGAGAGTCTAAGAAGGTAACATATTCAAGAATTTTTTTAATTTTGATGTAAGTGATTTGTCTTAATTAATGCATTCTACAAAGTGTTTTTTTTTTTTATTCATGGTTAGGATATTTTTTGATTAGTTTTTGCACACTTTAAGATTAATATATTCTCAAATAATTTTAAAAGTACATTTCTTACATCAATCTAATACATTTAAAAAAAATTATTTGTTTTGGATGCTGACTTAATATTTGAACTTGAAACTTGAACTTAACTTATAAGACGATATTTCACATTAGTGGATCCAATCCATTGCGGTTAGAAGTGAATTTAATTTGATAAAAGATAGGTTAAAAAACTCTCTATCATAACTCAAGAAGGGAAAAGAGAATTTGCCTCTTGTGGCTTTTTTCTAAAGGATTTTTATTGTCAACAAAATCAAGAAGAAAAAAAAAACAGAAGCCATGGAACTACCTTGTTTTACTTTGGTGACAAAACAGGGGATGTCGGTAGGTTGGGACTTAAAGCGAAGCGTTGAACTTTCTTTGTGTTTGATGATGTAACTACCTAGAAACATGATTTTAAGTGATGAAGGTGAATTATCATTTTCAGACACCATGGTTGATCTAGAAAAGGAAAAAGGACAAGCTCCGAAACCACCCATCAAACAAACACCATCTTTGGCCAACTTCTTCCACCACCAAGCTCTACTTTTGTCTACTTCATTGGTAACTATTTTTTTATACGTAGAAGTTAAGATTCATATTGCCCTTTTCTTTCTTTTATTTTCCCTTCGTTAGTAGTAGTAGGCTGGTACCGTTTGTGTTTTCAAAATGTTCACCATCAATTGGGAAGCATATGTTGCCCCCTTTTTATTTTTTATTTTTGGGCTGTAAAATAAAGAATAACATTTTCCTATCACTTTAAGCATATCTCACATTTTTAGCTAAATGGTTTCCCATCTGAAAAATTGATGGTAACAATAAGATAAGGCTGATTAAATCATGGCTTCACTAGATTCTTTTAAAATTAGTTTTTTTACAACAAAAAAGTGCAGTGCATTTTGGATTATACTAGATTGCACTACATTAATTATTGGATA